GGCACCCCCCCCCGGGCAGCCGGTCTCGCTCCGCCACGACCCAGAGAGGAGGCACTGCAAGGTTAGCGCTGTGGCTTGGGGTGCCCAGCCAGGCGAGGGTGGAGGGGGAAATCCTGCTTCCCCACTCCCCCTGGCTCTGTCTGGGGATGCCTGCAGCACTGGGGGACACGCCACAGACCCGGTGTGAAGCTGGTGCCTCCAGCATCACCACCTTGACGTGAGCATCCCATCCATGGCACCATCTTCAGGCCGACTGCTGCCCTGGGCTGTTTGCTGCTGCTGCCCCCCATCCCAAAGCAGAGGATGCTCTGCTTTCCCTGTGTGCTCAGTGGAAAATGGGGGATTCTGTGGGGCACAGCTCCATCTGCCTGTCTCTGGACGGATTCCCACAGTGAGGAGCATCCTTGCAGGAGCAGTATCTCCCACCCAGCCCTTTTGCAGCTTTCCCCAGCCCCGCACAGCATTGGTCCCACCATCTCCAGCAACCCAACCCTTGCTCTGTGCGGAGCACTGTAACCCCAGCAGCAGCCTCTGGGATCTATCAGGGTGTCAGCACCTCATCCCCATCACCGCCCATCCCAGTACCTTCCTTTCTGCGGGTGTGACACATGCCACCAGGGCCAGGGTGAGGAAGAGAATGAAGGAACTGCTGTTCATGGCTGAAGGGCTGCAAAGTGGCTTTTACCGCTCCTTCCCAGCCCCTCACTCTGATCCCCCTTTATAGGGCTGTAATTGGAGCCCCAGAGGCACATGGCTGGCAGCCACAGGGTGGGTGGCTGGGTGGCAGAGTGCCTGGGACAGGACAGATGAGACAAGAAGGTCTGGGTGACCTGAGCAGTGCCAGAGGAATGAGGGGATGAGCACGACTATGCAGAGAAACGCTGGGGTTCAAGTCTTATTTTAAGGTCCTTTCAGCAGCCTGGAAAGCATCAACACCCTTCCTTGGGAATCCACCTCCTGTGCGTGCAGGCTGGAAACTACTACCTGTTTAAACATTTAACTATTCCCTGCTTTGCTGGTGCTACTACCCTATCAGAGTGCCACCAACATGGAGCCAGGACATCCCTGGCAGAGGTAAGCTGCTGCGTGTGCAGCGTTGCAGGGATGGGGAGAGCTCACCCTCCCTTCTGCTTCAGCAGCACTAACATTTCCCCAGCAACTTCCGGATATCAGCCGCTAAATTTGTTGCTTTTGCTTTTACAAGATTTGGGGGAAGAAATAACCACAGAGGGGCACTGAAGTCCAAGTGAGTGTGTTCACTAAGCATACTCAGCGTGCTAACCAGCCTTGTACTTGCACCTCTTCCTTACGTTTGCTGCTTTTAGGGAATCTGAATGAACAAAACCACAGGTGTACTGTCCCTGCCCTCTGGGTTGTTTTTCTGTTCTCTGTAGTTCCTGGAACAGGCACAGAGCTAAGGGCAATTAAAAACTAAGGTGGGATTCTGCTGCATGAACACATGCTGTTGCCAGGACGGCAGTGTGCGGGGCACTGGATGACAGCAGGCCTGTGGTGTGTGTACTGGGAGTGGGGGAGTCCCACCCTGGGGCAGCATCATTCAATGACCACCACAAGCCCCAGCACAACTCGGGACCCCGCTGCTGTTACTGCTTCTCAGTGTCTCTCCCTCTGGTCCAGATGGCCCCAAAAGCTGAAGCAAGCAGAAACCACCCGTCTCCTAACACATCTCTCCCCTTGTTGCCTTTTACAGTCCCAAATTCATGGGCTTATCATAAGGGGCTAAGAAAAGCCTCCTGGGGTATCTGTTGCTCTTGCCCTGGATGCCATGTTCCATCCTTTTGGCCTGACACCAGCCCCTGCCTTTCTTCACTGTTTGGCAGGGACATGCTGCCCTGTTTGAGGTGCCAGGGAGGTGGCAACCACCACTACAACATCACAGCAGCGCTCTCTGGCATCCCTGGGGCTGGGCCAGGTTCAATGGACTGTATGGCCAGCGTGTTGGCATCCGCAGGGCTGGGTTTTATTTGTAACACTTCTTCAAGAGGCTTCATCTTCACCCACACACTTGATAAAAAATTTGGCATAAAAGAGCTGAGTAAACTTGGCAGGTGACTGCAGAGGCAGGTAGAGTGGCACTGCTGAAATGCAATGGCAGAGAAGGGTGAAGTCACTGGTTGTAACCTGGAGGGGTGGGGTGCGATGGAGGCTTTATTAACCTGTGTGCGTTTTACTTTGGGTGGCATGCAGCACGAAGGAAGAGCTTTACTGACATCTCACCTCTGCTGATACCTCTGTCACACAACGCTACAGAGCACGGAGTCCTGGATTGAAAAGGCATCTAATGGGGTGTGAAGGCACTGCAAGGAAGATGGCTGGATTTGGGGTGCCACTGCCACCTCTGTCACTGGCAGGCAGGCAGTGATGATGCAGGGTGGAAGTTTGGGTTAGGATGAGGTGGGAAGTGAGGTCAGAAAGTTGTATGGGGGGAATCAAGGAGGGATCCAGATGCCCTTGGGGAAGGGCAGTGGTGAGCCCTCCTCTCTGCAGGGGTACCAGGGGGGATAGAATCTCCCTCAGGGTGGGGGGTGAGGGCAGATATTAAAAACTACCATCACAGCTGAAATTATTTTTATCTTTTATTTTTATGTGAGAGGCTGGTTTTGCTTGCCTAGGGGCGCACCCGGACTGCAGCTGGAACATGTCGTCATGGGGTAGGCGAAGATACATCCTCACAAGATGGGGACAAGCTTGGCAGGACCTTTCCTTTTCGGACACGTTTGCGCGTGAAAATGTTTCTTCCCACCCTAAGGGAAGCAGAGAGTTCCAGTCTGACAACTCACAGACACTGCCCACTCAGGGCTGCCAGTGATGGCAGGTGACCGGGGTGTCCCTAAATGCCCCCCAGCCCACCTTGAGCAGCTTCTGAATGCCTCTGCACAGGGCAAGCCCCTCACCAGAAGGCAATGGCACGGAAAAGACACCCCCCTCCCAGCTGCACACCCATGCTGGTGAGTTCCTGGGGAGGTACCCTCACTCAGGGAGATGCTCATCCTCAGAGGTCCTGCGAAGGGCCCTTCTGTGAGGCTGCTGCCCTCCACCTTCCTGCAATACCTTGTGGCTTTCCAATCTTCCTGGAGGGACCCAACGGGTTCTCGCAGCATCCACATGGTGGTCAGCGTCTCCTTTCCACCCGTGTCCACAAAGCACTGCCCCACGAAGGCCGTGGTGGCATCTGGGGGAAACACTTGTTGGGGGGGTCAGTGGGGACAGCACCCATGCTCACTGGCTGCTTCCCCTCCCCAGGATGCTCGCAGATGCCATGTTTGCACCCCGATGGCCTTGTTTCCACCCGACTCCCGATGGGGGGACTCGTCCTTCCCCAGCAGCTCCCTCAGGTGAGGCAGGCTCTATGGTACTACATCCACCCATGCCCTAACGGAGATCTGGATCCACCACGGTCACCTCGATCTGCCCAGCAGGGATGGGTGTAAAGACACTGGGTGTTGAGGGCTTGCCTAGCATTGCCCATTGGCCCCAAGCTAGGCAGGCTCCGCCACCTTCCTTTGCTTTAGCTGCACCAAAGCATCACCCAGCAGACTTCCCAGCAGAGGAAAAATCCTGCTGCCTGCCTGTGTGGCCCCTGGTGCCCCCACAGTTCCATCCCCAGCCATCCCAGCACTTACTGGAGAACTTGTCCCAGCGCACAGTGAAGGCAAAGGTGGGCCAGCCCCCCTCAATGGGCTGCTGCTGGGCACCCTTCAGGGGGGAGGCGCGGGCGCAGCCGCCGCCGAGGGTGACCCATGTGAGGTATCTCCCCTGGAATTCCCCATCGTCCTTCACTGCTGAAATCTCCATCAGTGAGTCAAGCTCATTCCTCCACAGCCCGCTGAGCTGGCACTGAAGAGACACAGCCACGGGCTCTCTGTCCCCACACATTGCACAGAGAAGGAGCCCATCCCTCCCAACACCTCATGGCTGGAGCCGCAAGCCCTGCTGCACATGTGACTGCAGGGCACTGCTGCCCCTTTCCCCAGTTTGGGGAAATGCTCCTGTGGGGTGCTGGCTGCTGAAGGGGTGATGCAGCAAGGCCAGCACATCTGAGTCTGTCAGCACACCGGGACACAGCCCCGAGGAAGGAGATGCCCTGTGCAGCTCATCCCCGAGGCACAGACCCTGTGTGAACGGATGCCCCACGAATGATGACCCTGAGCACAAACCCCAAGAGAGGGGATGCCCTGTGTTTGGTGCCCCAGAGACACATCCCGTGGAAAGGGACATCCCATGCATGGTGCTCTCAGGTGAAGAACCTGTAGGAGGGAGCACCCTATGTGTGGTGACCTTGTGAGAGCAGAGTTTTGTGGAGATGTCACCAGGTGGCTGCAAGTGACCCAGTGATATCCTGCCTAGATGAAGGGCTTGCAAAGTTCTCCTGCTTGCCCCAGCCTAAAAGGGCGTTTAAGAGAGAATCCCTGACTGTCCACGCTGCATCCCAGTGCCATGTCTGCCGTGTTCCCATCACCACCCTTCCCCATACCTTCCTCTCTGCAGGGATGATGCGTGCTGCCAGGACCAGGACCAGGGCCAGGGTGAGGAAGACGGCAAATGCACCGCTCCCCATGGCTGAAGGGCTGCAAAGTGCCTTGCACAGCTGCCTCCCAGCCCCACGGCCCAGCCCCCTTTATAGGGCTGTAACTGGAGCCCCAGGGGCACTGGGCTGGCAGCCATGGCCGAGTGGCCAAGGGGGGGAGGGGCTGGGGCCAGGGGCACTGGGCTGGCAGCCATGGCCGAGTGGCCAGGTGGCAGAGTGCCTGGGACAGGTGAGGCGAGGAGGTCTGGATGACCTGGGTAGTGCTAGAGGAACGTGGGGATTAGCACGGCCGTGCATAGAAATGAGGGCACAGGGATGGTAACACATTCACTACCCAAGAGACTGCCAGCCCATTCCTTGCTCTGTGATGGGGTCCTTGGGGTGGGCACAGCCTGGAATTGTCCCCCACTGCCACTGTCCCAGTGCTGCCACCCAAACACAGTCCTGCAGCAAGCAGAGCCTGACTAGGTCTCCCCCTCCTGCACTAAAGAGTGGTGTGTCTGCCTGCAGGAGCTCATCTTTGGGGCAGTCCCCTCCTGCAATACAAGTTTCTGCTGCTGTTTCTAAGCTGTTTTTTCTCCTGGCTCTGCTGGGCTTTGTTTGGATCTGGCACCTGTGACTGCCACTGCAACAGAAACTCTTGGGCATCCTTGAATTAACCCTATTGTAAGTCTAGAAATTCTTTTCTGGAAGATATGTGTTTTCTTCTCCCCATGAGAGGGAACACCCTGTGCATGGTACACTCATGGACAGACTTTGTGGGAGGCAATGCCTCATGCTTTGATGCCAGGCAGCTCCACAGTGAAGCCCTATCTGAGCCCTTCCAACTGGTTCTTAATATTACTAGGTTGTGCCTGAGGATGCACAGGTTCCCAGAGGTCTTAAGATGGCCTCGCTCTAGCACAGGTATATGGCACAGCCACCCCCTCTCCAACCATGTGAGCCCGTTGCTCCTGACGCTACAGGAAAAGAGAGAGCTGGCACCTGACTGTGTCCAGGTCAGAAGGCACCTCTCTAGCCCCTGCTCAGCACAGAGGATGAGCATATGCTTTGAGAATCCTTCAGAGACACATCTGTCCTGGGCTTGAAGACACCAGGATCGCCACTCTCCTCTTGCCTGGAGAGCAAGATGTGGCAATGTCCATGTAAAAATTGCACTTTATATTTAATGAAAACATTATGGTAGCTGCTGTCAGCTCCCATCTCAGGGACTTACTACAAAAGACCTTGGCATCCTTTACTTTCTGCCCAGATAGATCTCAGCCCCATCTCTCACTCAGGGCTCGATGTTCCCCCCAAAGGCTCCATGCTGCACCCATGGGTGCCTGACTCACATTGTTTTCAGTATTTCTTTCCTGTCCCTGCCTACAAAGCATTGGCTCATGGAAGTGGTGGTGGAGTCTATGGCCCATGAAGGGGTGGGGGGTGGAAGAGGGTGCTGACAAGGGGCTTTCCCTCTTAGGCAGACAGCTTGCTGATTTGTGAGTGTGAAAGGCTGCTTGCAGGTAGATGATGTTTTCCTCCTTACCCACCTGTTTTGCTGGCACCAGCAATATGGCGTGAGACAGGTGTGGGATATGTAAAGCATGTGGGATTGAGCCCGTCTAAGCCTGCATACATCTCTGACCCACTTCGTGCTGGGCACAACCTGACTGATCAAGAGCCAGTGGTGGGGACCAGAAGATTCCACCAGCTGTGCAGCTGTAGTGTTGGGGATAAGGGAGCACTGGGGACGACATAAGAGAGGAGGAGACCACTGAGGATACCACAAGGAGATTTAGGGAGCTCTGGGGACATTGCTGACATGTTGGAGCATTTGGGACACCAAAGTAGAAGATAAGTCACCATCAAGGATACTGAACGGAGGAGCAGAAGAGCACTAGGGCCATCGCCGGGGAGGGCAGGGCAGTCTGAGGACACCACAGAGAGGTCTGGGAAAGGAGAAGCACTTGAAAACTCCAGTTACAGAACCACAGTATGTTAGAAGTTGGAAGGCACCTCTGGAGATCAGCTAGTGCAACCTTTCAGCTAAAGCAGGTTTGCTGAGAGCGCGTCTCACAGAATGACATTCAGCTGGCTTTTGAAAGTCTCCAGAGAAAAAGACTCTGTCACTTCTCTGGGCGGTCTATTCCAGTGCTTTGACACCCTCCAAGT